CGAGCGAGACACACGGCCGTTAAGTTCCAGAAATGACAATGGAATATAGGGACCAGTTAACCACTAACCAAACATACAGCTGGAAATTGGATTAGTACCTCTGGCGAACCAGCCCAAGCCCAAATCCTGTTTTTCCTCAAAATCTATGCCTTTTTATTTTAATTTCTTGTCATTTTTATGTGAATATATAAAATAATAGAGGTAGAACTATAAATATTAAATAGTTTTTTAAGATTGAAATTATCTTTCCGGAAATATGTTGATCCGATCACTGCCAGTCCTCGAACCTAAGACTTGCTAAGTTTTAGTTATATCACAAAGTCAACAAATCTACGAAACCGGCATATTAAAATTATCTTTTGTTTTCAAATTCATAGATATGTTTGGTGTGCCAACAGGAAGTGTAAAGTGTTTTTCTAGTTTAAATCGGATCCAAATTGATTTAGCTGATTTTTGTTTATCTCCAAATTATGTTTTACAAGTTTTGGAATGCTCAACAAACTTTCACCTACTTATTGGAAATGTCTTTTATCAATCCAATCTGAGGGGCATGACTTTCAATTCTTAGCTTTTCTTTTATGCTAATGTGCCCGCTTTCTGATTACTTTTTTCTTATTTTCGTTTTTTTTGGTGTCAAAGATTAATTTGTTGGATTTGTGTTGTACACAAATTTTCTTTTTCTTCTTTTTTTTCTTTTTTTTGGGTGCGCAAAACTGCAAGATCGTAAAATCTGCAGGCCCTAAAATGTTTTCCTATAAGCCCTCCATTGGACTTCGCTTGGATCAAGCCCATACCATTTCTATTTTTGCATTTTGGGGTCAAGTGATTAACCATGTTGTGCAATCAATAAGATTACACAAGAAGCAAGCGCTATAAGTTACAGAGGATGAGATAATGAGGCCATCTCCATCCAGTCACGGGCTATAGGCCGAAAATATTATTATTTTAACGAGTAGTGTATTTTTCTATCTTCAGTCATGCAAGGCTATATTTTAGGGCCTTTTATATTTTATTATTTTGAAGAAAAAAAAACTATGGTACAATACTCACACAACTACTATGTATTTGTTTAAATTAATTAAACTACTATTTAGAGACAAAATTCCAGATATGACACGTGTACGTTGATAAGCATTTATAAACAGTGTGGAATGAAATTTGTGAGAAATATGGAATGAAAGAGAAATGCTAGTATATAAATATATAAAATATACATATATACATGGGTATAATACATATATATATATATATGTATTTTATAATATAATATAATATATATATATATATACATGTCACATATATTATAAAATACATATGTACACATACATAATATATGTATTTATACATATATATATATACATAGATAGTTTTGAAATAAAAAATAAAAAATCTAGTCCTAGTCCAAGCGTACACCAAACGCAGGATAAGTGTTATCCAACTTAGACCAAGCCAAGCCAAGCCAAGACAGTCCCTAAGCATAGTCCATGCCAAGACAGTCCCGTGTACCAAACGAGCCCGCTAAGTTTTAGTTATATCACAAAGTCAACAAATCTACGAAACCGGCATATTAAAATTATCTTTTGTTTTCAAATTCATAGATATGTTTGGTGTGCCAACAGGAAGTGTAAAGTGTTTTTCTAGTTTAAATCGGATCCAAATTGATTTAGCTGATTTTTGTTTATCTCCAAATTATGTTTTACAAGTTTTGGAATGCTCAACAAACTTTCACCTACTTATTGGAAATGTCTTTTATCAATCCAATCTGAGGGGCATGACTTTCTTTTTTTTTTGTCTGAACCATGAGGTGGTCCTGGATGGGCCCCAACTATGGGTGGCACCTTTAAGCCTTAACCACAACCCAGACTAATCCCCATTCACACCGGGTCGGCCCGTAAGGGGTAAAGTGTTGGCCAAAGTGTTTAGCTTGTTACTAAAAAAAATTAATACATTTAATAAGGGTAAACTTGGAAAACAAAAACTAGTTTGTGTGATGCATTAATGATATTGTTTTAAGTGTAAGGAAAGTGACACTTGTCATGAGAAGAAGGGAGAAGGTTAGAGAGAAGGTTGCTAGCACTCCCCGAAATGAAATGAGTGAAATATTTTGAAGAAATTTGGAGGTATTTATAGAGAAACACTATACCTTATCAAAGATAGGTATTCAACTAATCTTAGACATAGTCTTATAAAGAAACACTATACCTTTAAAAACTATAAACACACCAAAAAAAAAACCCAAAAATTGACAGCTGTATATTTTTTAATTTAATTAATAAGATGAAATACCTTTATTACCCTTTTAACATAAAATTGGAATTCTAATCCTTTTATCAGGCATTGAAGTGAGAGTAGAGCACATTACAGTCTCTCATCTTCATCTTCAACGCCAATTTTCAATTTTTTTTTCTGACACTTTTTCAAGGAACCAAGCCTCAGCTCGCCAAATCGATCTCGATCTCGATCTCTCCAAGTTTGTTCTCCTATACTTTCTTCTCATCTTTTTATTTTTGCTTGTAGATTTGTGGATGAAGGTATGAGATTGAGATTATGGTGGAATTTTTTAGTGATATCAAAGGAACCTCGATCTCGATCTCGACAAGTCGTCTTGTCGGAAACGATAGCCGAGGACCTCGTCGATTGTTCCAGAGTACTGCACAACGACAACGACTCGTCGTCTTCAGTTGTGGGGGATTTCGCCGCGTCGTGGTCGTCGCCATAGTCGCCGTCCTCGCCGTCCTCCTCACCGCCGTCGTCGTTGTCGTCATTTGGTTTGGACTTGGGGATTTTTGATCTTTTGCTTCAATTATGTGTTTCTCTTTGGATTTTAGTTTATTTGAGGAATGTATTTTAAGCTTTGATGATCGATTTATCTTTTGTTACTATTTTAGTTATGGATTTCCTTTTTGTTTAAGAATGTACTTGTATGATAGAGTATTAACAAGATAGTTCTATGACAGAGTATTAACAATGTACTTCTATGACATAGTAATATTAACAAGATAGTTCTATGACATAGTAGTATTAACAAGATAGTTCTATGACATAGTAGTATATTAACAATGTACTTCTATGACATAGTATTAATAATGTATTTCTATGAAGAGCCTCTGCTTGGTTTCGCAAATTTTTTTTTATAAATAAATTGTTTGGGTTTTTCAAAAATATCTGGGCTGGACTTGTTTTGGGGTTTTTTTATAGCTTTTTGTGTTGGCTTTTTTTAAGTTAATCAGTGGCAATCATGTAATTTATAGGAACTTCAACACCCATTTCTTAAGTAGTAAATTGGTTTTGAGTGTGTTTCTAAAGTGCATTCCATGTAGGTTTTTTTATATTTATAATTTCAACTCTTATTTTGAGTATAATATAGTGAAGCTCCCAACAAAGTATGGGATGGGAAAGCCTTTGGTACCCTCATCGGTGTCTTTGATGTTTATGGTTTTTTTCTTGCAAACCACCCTAATGATTCACATTCAATTGGTTAAGTGCTACCCCCAAACGATCGAAGCTTTGAAACTTTTTTTTGGCATCAACACATATTAACTAATTTAAAACAATTTGCAAATTAACCTAGAACCGACCATGCAAACTAGCAATATGCTCTTACACCACAATACATTTAATTCAAAATTCTATCCAACCTTCCATGGTATGAAGGAGAAGTTTATTATAAATTTTATAGAAATTTGTATATTTTCAAGCACTCGATATTTTTTGTCAACCCCAAATTTTTCTTTTTAAATTGTCAAAATCAACATATAATACCTTAAAATCAACCCACCATTCCGACCATAAAGAAAAAAAAGACACAACCTTCTGTCCAATGCTTGTCCATATAGCTATATCATTGAATCATTGACAATCTTCTGCTTTTGACGAAGAGATAATATACTATAAGGAATGCTTTACCTACTCTATACTACATGCAATACCTATTTAATTTAATTCTTACACACACTATCAATGTGTCATATGCTAAAAGGAATGCTTTACCTACTTTTTACTTTTTATTTATGGAACTATGGTTATATGCAGACACATGTCAAGTATTGAGAATGATGATAAGGATGGTGAGCAAAAATACTTTCTATTGGGGCCGGATTGACACGCCATAAAACTAGCAATACTTGTAACTAGCTAGTTAGAATGAGATTTGACTAACAATATTGTAGACAAATTTGAAGAAACATAAAGCTGGCCTAAAAGGATGACAAGAATCTTGCTGCTTAAAGCATTGATAGTGGAGTGCTAAGAGCAAGACACATATACATGTATGAATATGTATCACTTTTGAATCCACCATATGCACATACTTTTAAAAGTACAAACCAGGTCAATGAAGGGAATCCAATGTGGCCATGTAAGCAAAAGAAATAGTGAAAATTATTAAATTAAATATCTATTCATTTTAGGGATAATTGAATAAAGCAAAGGAGAAGGAGAGCATAAAAATAAGTGCAAATGAACAAAATGAAAATAATTATAAAAAATCGTCATCCATTCACGTAATTTATAATCTTTGAAGTCGTAACGTGATCCCTCATTACTCGTTTTAATTTCATCAAATAAGAATTGGCTTAGTAGAATTGTTTTGTGTTTCTTTTTGGCTTCGGTGAAACTTGATATTGCATCTTGTACTTTCAAAGCAATATTTCATTCCACATCTGTATATAGATAGTACTTATCAGTTATCAGAATGCATGGTTGCTTTCTTTGATATCGATAATGCTTAGTGGAATTCATCACTTTTGCCTCAAGCAAGCTCCTTTTTAAAGCGAAACTACTCATATCTGACCAAATTTTCCTTTTGCATATATATATATATATTTGCTAAAGCTCCAATGGTGCTCCTTTTAAGTTTTCATTTGGATAATACATTTAGCAGCCTTTAGTGTGGATATTCTAATATTGATGAGAGAGAGAGAGAGAGAGAGAGAGCATCTTATAATTGATGAAGTTTGTGCACATCGTTTCAAGTAATGAAAAGAAAAAGGAATCATTCATTTCAGAAACCAGGCACATTACAATAATTAAATAAAAGGTTTAACACAAATGACAATAATGGGGAAATTAAAAGCACCAAAATTACATTGATTAATTTAATTCTTATGGGAAACCTAACAAAATGCTAGGCATATATGTAGCTTATGAGGACATGGGTTCTTATGTGCCATGTTTCACCATGAAAAAACCCTAGAGCTAGCAACTCAAAGAAATTGGGAAGGAAAAACTGGTCATGATATCATCTCTCTCGCTCATCAGCAATGCCTGCAATAAAAAATAAACATATGAGATCGTGAGTTGATATTGAAACTGAGCAAGATCTAAAAATCATTGGTGTTAGTTTGGAACAACAAATGACAGCGTAAAACCTACCCAAAATTGGTTAAATCTTGTCTAGTATGAGTCTCTTGGGGCATTGCATCTAAAACATTCCATTCTGCTCGCAAAGTTGTGTTCGTTGCACCCCAACCTGTCCAAAAAAAAGATAGAGGTTAGTTTACAGATGGAATGGGAGAATAAAACGAGAATCGAACTCTATTTTCTATACATGTGAAGAAATAATTACGTTAGAATGAATCGAATTCTTAACAAATCTTAATTTTAAGCCACTCACTTACTTAATTCTTGAAAAGAAAAAGAGAGATTCGTAAAGTATCTAACTTGAAAAAGCAGTCAAAGAACTTGGAATATTTTCAGTACGTAAGTACTTTTTCTGTCAGATTTTCAAGTTTATTTTTTTTGGTCAGATTTTCAATATGCAAGTAATGAGCACCTAAACTAGCTGAATATACATCTTGACAAAGCAAACTGTAGCCAAACCAAAAGCAAGGTTGTGTCCAAATTATCCAGGACCAACTTTTGTTGATACTGAAAATATATACCAAATTATTTTTAGCTAAACACATTACACATATTAATTGTAACATATATACACACATATGCATATTCCTGAATTTATCACCTGGTACAAATCCAATCTCCAGATTTCCATCCAGGTCGAGCACCGCCGCCAGCACCGCCACCAAGTCCTAACCCAAAACCCCGGGAGCGTGGCATGTCAGAGTCAAAGCCGCCGCCGCCTCCACCAGCAGCAGAGTCATCCTTGAAAGCACCACATTTGAAGCAGCTGGAGCGGCTGGCAAAATTGTGCGCCCCACAGTTGCCAGCAGCGCAGTACCAGTCGCCAGGCCTAACATCTGAGCCGGTACTCATGAAGCCGAACGAAGATCCTCCTCCTCCTCTTCCACCAAAACCCCCAAAGTCAACGCCGGACTTGGAATCTCCACAGCGTTGGCATGAGTCACGCCTCTGGAAGTTGAGGTGCTGGCATGACCTACAGTTCCAATCTCCTGGCCTGCTCATCTTTTGATCTGCATTAATATTTTAAAAAAAATGTTTCAGAAATGGTAATTAAATCTGAAATTTTAAATAAAGTCACTTTTTTTTGGGGTTGATATTCCTATATGGAAGCTACAGTGCTATGCATGAGAGATGTGGTAGCCCTTAGTATCAATAACTTACTTTATCCTAAAGCGACCTAGTTTCAAACATAAACACGATATCAGCACGATTTATTATGAACTTACTTCACTATAAACAAATTAAGAAAATAAATGCATCGAAATTAAAATGTTCATACAAAAAACTAAATTGAAACAAAAGAGAAGCCAAAATTCAAGATTCAGAAGGAAAGAAATTGTTAGAAAAAGCATTGTGGGAGATAGAAGAGAAGAGAAATGACCTTAAGAAAATGTAAGGATCGATCTTCTTCAGTATTGGATACGTTGGAGAAGAAAGAAGGGGATAATGGTGAAGTGATGAGCCATGCAGGTAGGGAGTGGTTATATATATACAAAGTGAGGCCACAGAAAAAGGGAATAAATGGAGGGCCGTGTACTACTTTTTCGTATTCTTCAATTAGCAACCTTGATAAATGGAATCAGAGAAATCTAAAGGAAGAAAAAGAGAAGGGAAACTCGATATTCCACGATTCCAAAGAGAGGATATTTTGAATTTTGAATATGTACTTTGTTTACTGGCCCTCTTTCAATTTAGGGTTTTTTCATTTTTTATTTTAACGTGAGAAATAAATAATAATGCATGCATGTACACACTAGTACTATATACTACTATTCATGCTGGTAACCCACTTTCACATTTGCTTCTTTCTTTAAGATTAGTTTGTATCTTGTTTAATTACTGATCACATCTCTCAAGAAGGTGAGATTTTTGCAGAGAAATATATAATTGAAGTAAAATAATGTCAGAATTAGTGTGATCATTGAATGCATAATAAAGTTGATTTCTTTTGAAAATATTTTTTAAAAATGTATAAATCTGCATATACAAGCATTGTTTTAACTTGTAAAATCTTTGAAAAGTGAAATGTACTATGCAATTGAGATATTTTGTTTTAACTCTAGCACGTATTCCAATTTGGTCCATTATCAATTTTTATGTCTATTTAAAGGGTAAAATCGTCAGTTACGGTACAATTATCCTCTAAAACAAGTGGAAAATGTTACAATATGACCAAATCAGAACACGTGTCAGAGTTGAAGGACCAAAATGAATATCGAATATAAATTTAAGGATCATTACAGTTAAAAGTCCTAATTAGTTTAACTAAGAAAAAGTTCGGCAATTATTTGGAGTAAGAACACGCGATGAGCAGCCGCAAATCTCTATGTGAGACTAGAACCAAAAAAAATCTACATGTGAGAGTGAAAATGAAGAGATCTAGATCGTTATTGTAGGACAAGTTAATAAGTTACTTCCAATATCCAAAGGCAAAACATGTACAAGCATGCAATGAAAAGAATAGCAGATCATAGGGAAAATGTAACCTGAAATTAAAAGTCACAAGTTTTCACACAACCCATATGATGGCTAGTTAGCTAGCCCGCCATCTTTAAGATTAATTGAAGTGATTAGGTTGACCAAAGGTAACAATCTGATTCAGCCTTGCAGGTCTAGCACGCTAGCCCAACAATTCAAAGACCCACAAAAAGAAAATACAGATTCTGTAGCCTAATTTCACTACAAATCTACCAATCAAGCAAACCATGAATCTAGAAAGGCCCTTTGACCATGGCATTAATTGGGACCCCCTTTACTTCATTAATATGGCATCTCAAATTGAGCTGCCACGGCTATATATGTACGAGATTTTTGTAAAAACGTCACTTGAATTTATATTTTAGTTTTAATTTGTTACTTTAAAGAAAAATTTAAGAGAAATATCATCTTAATTTTTCAAAACCCATGATTTGTCATCAATTTTTAAGGGGATTTTAGTCTTTCCATTTTCAAGAAAAAAAATAAAGAAAAAATAGACCTCTCTCTCCCTTTCTCCCCCACCCCAACCGCACCTGCCCCCAAAACACATCGCACTGGACCCCTCCTCCCCCTCTTCTCTCTCTCTCTCTCTGAGCGTGGAAATGGAAAAATACCAAAAAGAAAAAAGAAGAAGAAAAAGGTGGACTATGTTTGGGTGAGCTAAGGGAATTTGTGTGGAGGGTAGGTGTTTCATGGTAAATAGAGGAGGAAGGGGTTGTGAAGAGGGAAGGGGGAATGAATTTCAAGGTGGGCGGGGGTTCGTTGGAGCCGCTGGTGGTGCACAGGAGATGAGGGAATGTGAGATTTTTTTTTTTCAATTGTAATTGTTTAAAAGATATTTTTTAAAAAAATTAAGAATGATTTTTCCATTTTTAAAATACCCTTAAAAATGGAAAGACTAAAATACCCTTAAAATGAATGGAAAATTGGATGGTGTTAAAGTGAGATGGCAAATCATGGATTTTGAAAAATTAAGATGACATTTCTCTTAAATTTTTCTTTAAGGTGACAAATTGAAATTGAGGTATAAGTTCAGGTGACATTTCTAAAAAAATCCCTATATGTAATGAAATAACAGCCCCCCAGAAAAAGAAAAAAAAAAAAAGAACCCCACAAATGGCTGAATGTAATTGGACAATGTGGAATTCTAATCAGCATCTCCTTCCATGAAATAGATATTCCCTAAACATAAAGCTCTTAGCAGGGCCACTTGTTATCTTAATTGTATCCATCAAAGGCCCAAGGGGGGTCTAGTCTCTGTCAATTTTACTTTGAGAATCAGCAAGATTGACAGTCAATTTATTGGAAAAATTGCTCTTGCTTTACAAATTTGAATATTCCTTTATTCCTCTTACGTTTCATAATTACAGACAGCTCAAGTGGAGTTAAACAATACCCAACTTTCTAAATGTGGCAAGACCAACCATTGGAACATTAAAATTTGCATAGAATTATCGTTGTAATTGAAATTTTTATTACCACAATAGAAATTCTCGTAGCTAGTATATGTATCCCCCAAGAAAACGCCAACTACAATCATTCACGTGCGCGTAGATAATTATCGACTGATAACGTATATATGATAGACTTAGATATTATTAGGGGTTATTGCCTCACTGAATTTTGGTGTTTCTTTTTCTTTTTCTTTGATTGTATTGATGGGAATAGTATCTTGAAGAGAGAAACTCAAAAGGGAGAAAAATGATAAAACCAAAAACAGAAAAAGAAGCAAAATGGTGAGTTTCAATAAAGGAAGTTGAAGCTGATGATGGAATAACAAGTCTTCGAGGTGTTGTTCATTTTGACCATCTTTCTTTTTTTTCCTTTTTCTTTTCTTTGCTGCGGCTGCTATTCCAATATTTCTCTCTCTCTCTCTCTCTCTCAAAAAAGAACATGCACATAAGGGGAGATCTGGCCTCCATTCTCTTGGAGAAGGGTAAAGGGGAAGAGAGGCAAACTGTAAAGAAGCAAAGAGAAGTGGGCAGCTGATGATTCGATTCTCTCTCCTCGGGAATCGTTTCCATGCATGAATGACTACGACTAACTTATATTTTCTTGGTCCCTTTCTTTTTTGTGTATCCTCCTCTCGTCAATAATATTAATTCCTCAGGCTGAATTTGTTGAATTCCTTTTCCTCTTTATAAAAACCAAACCCTAATAAAAGGAGATAGGTTAATCACCCCCACTTTGTCCTTTTGCTATCTTCTTTTTTTCAATACAAGCCTCTTGTCATCGTTCTGCTATCTTTTTATATATACATAGCAAATGCTCTTAATCACTATACCTACAAATCCCTTGTCGTTTTGTTATCTTCTTATATACATAGCAAATGCTTATAATATCTTACAAGTTTGACCAAAATCCTTTTTATTCCAAGTCATAATTATTCCAAATTGTAAGTTATAAATCATCCTAAATATTACCCTAATAAACCCAAATACCTTCTATATAAATTGTAAGTTAAAACCAAGCAAATTTGTTGTGTGGCTTTGATGGTTGAAATGGGGTGATTTTCTTGGATTCGGATATATCCTTCTTTGGTCATGTTATTGAGTTTAGGGGCATTGTGTTCAGCGTATTGCGTAGTTTGAACACTTAAGTCTAAAGACCGACCTGAATTATATTGCTTCAGAACCCTGATTCTATTGGCTAATCAATAATATATAACTTGTTTCTATGCGTATAAACCATCTGTATAGTCAATTTGTATAACTAAAAAGTAATAAATACCGTAAACTCTACTAATACATGAACTTGTGGCCAGGCAATACGTTCAATTTCATGGTGACTTGCATACCCGAAGAACAAAAGGAAAAACACACGAACGAACATGAGAAAGGCAATGGAGAGAACCCCGTGGACCTTCAAAAGGTCTTAACAAATTTGTTCAAATCCCAAATGCCATATATAAAACCACAATTGAATTCCATTTAACTTCTCATTATATCCGCATACACCATACAGGTTGCGCCTACACCAGATGCAAATTTCAAAACACATTTCATATCAAAACACATTTCATACAAGGCACAATCCATTTTAGCAAAACTAGTTTATGTAAACCAACACAGCAGCTCAAGCTAATCTACAATGTGCACACCACAGAGGATTGCTTCGAGATTGCATTATGATCCTTTTCGGCTTCGACTACCAGAACCAGCTAGACTTCTCGCACTGATTGATTCACTTGGACTAAACAAGTCCCTGTGACCCAACGGAGTACTTCCTCGGGGTACAGGCGACGAAACTTGACGAGGAGACGGAATTTGACGAGGCGATGAAACTTGACGAGGAGATCCTGAACTTTGCTCGCTTGCTCTATGTGTCTCGGTCTCCAAATTCTTCACTTCTTCAGTGAGCATTGCTAACTGTTTCAGCAAAGGCCATCCATCCATAAATAGAGTTAGCATGAGAAAGATACTCTGTTAAAATGTTACAAACTAGGCACTAAAAGAAAGGAAATTTGGGGCCTCCATCAGAATCACTTGTGCATGGCCAAGGATCATCAAACGTAATTTCATAAAGTCATTCGGTCTGAATGCTACATGAAGAACATAAGCCAAATGATGGAACGGGACGACCTAGGATGTAGAAGAAGTATGTCCAGGTTGAGATTTTAAAATGGCTCAACCTCAACATTGAACTTTAAATCAATCTAATTCCATTAAAATTCCATCAAACTTGAAAATCTTTTGAGATCAACAAACCATCCTTACTATCTACAAATGGCATGGTTATATACCCGAATTTCATTCTCTCTTAACCGACACTGCAGTGCATTTATGGCAGGACTTAAACTGCATAAAATTTAAAAATTGGAAGAAAGTCAGTAAAACATTAAAAACCAAAGGCCAGGCATAAAGAACTAACAGAGAGGTGGGCAAATAACTCACCAATATTCAATTAATTTGCACATGGAAGCCTGGTACATTGATGTGTGATGTATGTAAGTAAGTGGATGCACTTTCCCATCCCTAAGCAAAACCAAAACCAAAACCAATTAGAAAGAAT